TTTAATATAATAATTTAATCATAAATGATCTGACCATGCTTGAACCCCACTTGAACTATGAACTGCTGCCTCAAACTGATCCAGAATGTGGCTGACCCGCTTTGTTTTGCACTGCTTTTGCTGCCTACCCACTTCATCCATACCATACATTCCGCAAATATCAACGAGTAGCGCGGATAATGATTTGTGTCCACTGTGATCTCGAAATGATTACCAGACAAGTGTGTGAAATAAATTTAACTATTTGTCCTCATCTAATTCCAATCCCACTACTACCAGTATTGCACACAGATGTTATTATTATGGTCTCCCTAATAACAAACCCTTTAGTAGCGGTTATATAGCTATAGTGCTGTAGGATCCAGGATTACTTATGGGCAAGTGATGGATTAGGCTCTGTTTAGTTTTATGTAGGAGGCCTTCAAACATTAATTGCAGAAAGCAACCAGACAAGAGCTTTTCCGTTATCTGCTTTAGAATATGAGCTAACTGAATCAAACACGGTCATTTGAGTCGTATGTCCAAAATTAATTACGATCATCTTTTCAGGAAATAGATCGGCAAATTTAGATGTGCACAAGAACCCATTTGTTAATCAAACCAAATGCTTCAAGATCATCACGCTCATAGACATTACACTAGCATCTTCAGGGAGTGGAGACCGGAGGGTAAGTACGAATGACACTAAGCTACTAGCATTCAGAGCAGATACCTCCAACTTTGTTGAATCGCGCCATCTTACTGTTTCATAATCAATCAAATATATTCACATATTTTACCATCACTTTAGCATTGAGGTTACTGAGTTTGAGTTTTTACCAGCGGATGGGGAACAGAGACAACACAGCAACAGCACAATCATGCATCAATTATCCTACGTCGATTTGTATTGCAAAACTCCCTTGGTGTATAAACTCAGGATATGAATATAAACTAGCACAAAGCCTCAAGCTATACATCTTCGCCTGTATTTAGTGACAAGATTTCACAAAAGGAAGGCAAATTTTAACCAGAACTTGGCAAGAGCTCTGCTTCCAAAAGACAGGAGTTACCCCCGCAAGAACCCACGGAGCGTTATCTTGAAGCACACATGACAGAACCATGATTTGACTTCTTACGGTCACCAGGAGGTATGGATTTCTTACATGGTTGAGAACCCAATTTCTTCCTCTTTTTGATAGAATAACTTTCCTGGGAGGGCCCAGCCATGGCACCCAGGAGTTTTCATCTCCTCGAACCATGCACGTTCTTGCTAAGATATCTCACAGCTTCTTTCCTCTCAGAATCGTCCAGTCTTATTAAATAGTCTTTTACATCTCTCATGATTCTCCATCTTCAAATGATCCCGCGGAATGTGGCAAGTAATAACTAAAAGTCCGACTCAAAGATAGCCACTGTTTAAGCATGAAAGTATTGATGATAGCCGCTGTTTAAGCATGAATGGTTGCATTAGAGGTGTCCCTTTCTTCAAAAATTCTCTCATTTCGCCTTCTCTAAATAAACTTGCAAGCAAATGACATAGAATGATAGATAATATATGCAAAAATATGAAGGCAGATAGAGGTAGATAATATATATATATATATATATATATTTCGATGATAGTGATACCATGCACAACTAGACTCATGAGAACTAGACTAGAAATAACAGAGTGATGAATGGATCATCATATGGAGAGGATAGCACAAGAACAAGGCCTGAGCAGTGGAAGCTGCTTTGAGGATCAAGTGGCTGAATCCTAAAAATCACATTTGCTGTATGCTTTGCCTCCGAATCTAATGTCTCCCACCTCTTTCTACTATATAGAAATCGTCGACTCAATTGAATGGTTGCCGGAGATGTTGACACAAGATATGGAGAGAAGACTAGATCAAAACTCTACTTTTTCTTATGCCCTATACTTTAATCCAATGATTGTGTAGAGAAATGATTGAAATGCATTCTGATCACATAGATCATTCTACACCTTAACTCACTATTTCATTTATTTTTGGTCAAGAGCATAAATTTTTAAGCTTTGATAAAATCCTATAACTATAATGTGAACACTCACTTGATAACAAAATTTGGGACACTTGTGGAATTCAAGTATGATTTGTCCATTCTCATTTGGAAATTATCTTAGCTTCATCAATGTTATAGGTAATTTTGTCATTTCCATCAAACTTGTCCATGTATGGCCACCAACACAAATATTGATGACTGGGATTTAATTTCGATCTCTCCATTGTGCGTACTCAAATTAAAGTCATCTTATCAACAACTATTGCCCTCTCCTTCGGCCCCAAGTTTTTTTTTCGCCCATGGCTATACATTGCATGTTTTTCCCCTTTTTTTTTACATACACTATTATTATGATCAAATTAATCAAGTTAATCAGTTTACTTGGGTAAGCATACCATGTACCAGTGTTAAGTAACCTCATATTACATATTTATTGATGATTTAAATGAAATAAAATTCAAAAGTAATGAATTAGGGCTCGTTTGTTTTTTTTTCAAAATTATTTTTTTCTCTTTAAAAATAGAAAAATTTAAAATCTTGTTCGGATAAATGTTTTTCATTTAATTGTTTTCAATTTTTTTCATTTTTTGTTTTTAAAATTAAAAAAATAGAAACAATTTTAAGTTGTTTTTGATTTATTTTTCTTATTTTTAAAATATAATACATTTAATTATTAAAAATTATAGTTATTTTGACCAGTTTTTATTATTAATCACCATCATTAACTGTTCATAACCATCATTATCAATCCATTTTTTGATTGATATATCCAAATGGTATTTCATTTTATTTTGTTTTGAAAAAAAAATTTTAAAATTGCATTTCAAAACAATTTTTTTTAAAAAAATGAAAATAAAAACCAAACAACCTCTTATTCTATCTACCTCAATTTATATGACATTTTTATAGAAGATTCAACGTTTTAAAATATAGGACATTTCAATAAAAATAATGTTTCATTTATGATACTTTTTTTAATATTAACCTTTTTATGTATTATATCTCTTAAATATTTTTTCGTAAATGGAGTACTAAATGAAGGGTATTTTTAAAGGTTTATATTTTTTTTCAAAACGTAATGTTATAAAATGTATTTAATGATTTTTATTACTATACGTATTTTGTTTAAAAATGTCTTATATATTAATACAAATATAGTACTATTCAATAATTTTAAAGAGAATATTAATGAAGGACTCCTAAAAGAATTTAATATTTGACAAGGATTTTTATCAAGCTAAGTAAACATTAACAAATCAACAAGTGATATTATTGTTTTAATAGATATCAAATCTTTATATGATCCTTATCAGATATTAATTTTTTTAGGACACCATTAATATTCTTTCTAATTTTTTATTATCAATGAATACTTGATGATCTAAGACGTGAAGATCACACCCTCCATTTTTATATATAAAAAGTTTTCTAAAACTTTTTTTTATTTCTAAATATAAAAGATTGTTAGTATATTTTTTAATAAATGAACCATTATACCCTTATTAAATTGGAAAGAGAAAAAGATAAGTACTCTCATTAATTTATTTTAAAAAAAGATTCATTTTTTATGTATAATAACTACAGCAAAATTAAATTGTTACTGTGCTTTTAATTAAATAATGAATTTTTCTTGATTTCCATAATTTAATTAAAAACATTTTGTATTTAGGGATGGAGGAAGTAATTGTTGGCAGTTTTTTATTTTAAATTTAATTTATACTAAAAATATCTATGCTTGTCATGGAACACGTCACTTGCCAATGAATGCCGGGGCATTCATCCATATTTGTGCCCACTAAAAATGAACTAATCTTTAAGCTGATTATATGGTGAAACCATTAACGTTACCCGTTGGTCTTCATTTTCTGCCTCCATAGAAGTGTTTTTCTTTAGTTCTTGTTTTGTAGTGTTGTAAGTTTTTCTTTTTGGTTTTTCCCTATTTATCAAAATTTTTTTACCAATCTTTATCTTTGTTATAAATATTATATTGTGTGAGTATTCTTAATCTCTCCTAACTCTTGGCCTTTTATATCCCATATTCTATAATCTCTTTAATGAATGACTTTAGAAGTTTTTTTCATGTTTAATACCCATAATTTTAAAGATTATATATTGTATATTGATATAAATTAATTTTGTCATTTAATTTATTATAACTCTTAAATAAGGTTGGAATTTATAAATAGAGGTCATGCACCATGTACTTGTGATGCCCAAACTCTCATCTTGAATCTTTCTTTTGTTTTTTTCTAGTTTCTTATATAATAACAAATAACTGGGACGACAATAAAACACGCAGCAATTATTGGCATCGTTAATTCCCTTGGACCCCATGGTGCTTTTCCTCCCCCTGTTTGCCGTCTTCCAATTGAAGACATTTGTCATTCTTTTTTTAATAGAGCAAAATTTACGTACTTAAAGTTATGTCTTGAATATACTTTCCTTCAAAAAATTATTGCTATCTGGATGATTTTTTTAGCTCACCAATTAATTCTTCTTAAAAGAGTTTTCCATCGTTAGCTTTCCAAAATGAAAAGAAAATAAACAAACCTAATATAGAAAATGTTACATCAAGTCTATTTATTCATTAAAATGCTATCATCTCCAGTTTTTACACTGGTTCTTTCTTAAACGATGTGAAAAGTGTTTTTTATAGTATTGTGGTGAGTTGGAAAAATTAGCCAGGTGGTAATAATTTATTGAAAGAAAGTATATTACGAATATAATCTTAAGTACGTAAGTTTTGGCCATCTTAATTTGTCCCCCTCTTTTTTTTTTGAGCAGAGTGGCCACAGTCAGAACCATGCAAGGTAGATTGAAATAATTAATAAAATTAAGTCAAATCATAGTATGCTTGGTGTGATGCATTTACATGTATAACTGATGCGACGAGTTTTACTATACAATCATCCTTTATTTGCAACCATCCACAGATCACAGACGGGCGCAGATGATAATATAATTAATATATTAAATCCCCACACATCCACAAATTTCGTTGATGAAATAATTTATTTGATTAAGCATACATATACATATACATATACATATACACATACACATATACATATACATATAATATATATATATGTGTGTGTGTGTGCGCGCGCGCGCGCAAGTCCATACATGTATATAACCGAAGTAACAGGTTCTTACGTACATGCATACATAAAATTCTTGATTTGCTAGCAAAGGACATACATGGGGATATATACATATAAAACTGAAGTGACAGAGTTTTAACAGACTACACTTCTTTATTTTTGCAACCATTATTTAAACCAGAGACTCAGACATATATAATTAAGATCATATAATTAGTGATATGGAATATATTTAGGCCACCACATCACAGGTGCATGGGCCAGAGCACTCGAAGCCCTTCTGGGCATCAAACGGATCAACCCTGGAAACCACGCAGCTCCATCCTTCTCCACACTCGCACTTCGCTCTGCTTCCACCCTCACCTACTATCTCCTTTACCCCCTCGCTGCACGCATGCAACATATAACCTCAGGAATATTAAAACTAAATGATATTTAAAATCTTATTAGGATGTCTAACTTTGAATAGACTTGAGTCGACGTGAAAAGTTTTACATCAAATAAAACTTGTCTTAATAATTAATATATAAAATAAAGGGATAATGACTCATAAATTTGAGTATCCAAAGTGTTAGTTCATTTATTCTCTCCCTAATTTCTTGGCAGTCGCTCCCAATTTCTAAAAGATCTATTGAAGTGACGTACATAGAGCAGTTGCAATTTTCACCACATTTAAAGTTCGGTTTGCCGGCATCGGGGGCTGAGGTCTTAGTGATCTCGCATGTCCAACCCTCTCCGCATTTACACGAGACGTTGCCCAACTTGCCTTCCATCGGCACTTCCCTGAAAGTTCATGAATCAGATGAGCATGTAGTGCTTCATATAAAAGAAGCTCAAGTTTTCAAGTTTGACAAAAACAACAAAATTTCATAAGGCAAACGTTAGAATACGAGTCAGAAGAAGCGATCCCACTTAGAACTAGAAAATCACCTGATCTGGCTTTGAGACGACGCCATGTTCCTTTAATTTTCTTTGATATTCGGTTGGGTTCAAGGACTCCGACTCCCCCTATTTATAGGCTCATTATACTTGTCCATTCCCACTTGATTGCAAACACAATGAGATTTGAGTCATCATGAAGTATTTTGGGCAATTAATTTGCTCAGGATAATATTATTATTGGCATATCAATTAACCCATCCACTTGTTGCGTACTAGAATTAAACTAGGATGATAAAAACAAAACAATAACCAGCTGACTTTTGTCTTTGCGGTTCTTTATTGGAAAAATAACAATTAAGGACCATCTAAAGACATTAATCTCAATTAAGGATCATAACATTTTGAAATCTCAATTAAGGACTATAGCATAAAAAACATATCTAACTTTATAAAATTGTCTCTTCCCTAAACAATAAAAGGTAATAGTAAAACAACTTATATTGTGTTATCTGTTCTTATTTTGGGCACGAAAAATTTTCTCTCATGTGCTCTCATGTGTGAAAAATCTGAGCGAAAAATTAGTGGAGTTGATCATCATCTGGGTCATCATCTTCTCCTCTCTTTATAATAAGTAATTACATACATTGTTTCTTTTACATCTTCTCTTTTGCCATACACATAAGAAAAGTCTACAATTTTCTCTTCTCTATATATCTTTTACATCTTCTCTGTCACACATCGAAGAAATTTTTTTTATATCTTTGTAAATGCTGTCTTACACCATTTCTCTTTTATAGCTAAGAAAAAAAGTAATCTTCTTGATGATTAATAGATTATATATATAGTCACACATAATAAATAAATTTTGAGAACAATAGTGTTAAAAAAATTGAGTGAAAAATAAAAAAGATATAATATGGATGCTAGATTTTTTTTGTTCTATGATTAAAAGTGCATTAATGTTGAAAAATGCAACATGGATGTTGAATTGTTGTAATCATAGTTGGGGTTACAGGAAGGATAGTTATAAAGTAATAAATTTGTGTGTTGCTTCTAGTTGTTGCATGTTTCTTTCTCATATGGCAAGTACTTCAACAAAAGAAGTATTTTGTTATTTTCATGTTAAAGGACATTTTGTAAAAGATTCACAAGGAAAATGACGTATGAAGGTGGGAGATTAATTTTTAAATTGATTAGAGAAGGCATAAATCATGAAGAGCTGGATCCTAATTCAGGTTAGTGAATTCTTAAATAATGTTACTGGATCCCAATTTGGACAAGTTACTTTGTCTTAAATAATCTATTTTCAAGTAGTGTTTCATACTTTCATAATATACGTTAGCTGTAAGGTCTACCTTATTAAATCTTGTTAACTCTAATATTAAAGTAATCAAGGGACTAAACTATTAAAAGATTATCAAGTTTATAAAATTTACATAAATAAAGAATTCTTAAATCATTTATAACAGGATCCCAAAATTCAACATTTTGAATTTCTAACAAACACTTAATATGCATAAATCAAAGTTTTAAAATAATGCGGAAGCTTTCAAAACTCAAAGCTATGTTTAGAAAATGTGACATATACTATGGCTAAGAACATATGCGCTGTGACTCATCATTCTCTATGCCATGCGTCGTGGCATGAGGCGCCATGTGCTATGGCACATTGCACAAATATGACAACAATAGCTGTTGGCATTTGACAATAGTGTAAGCAAATTTCTAACACATCCTAAATCACCGTTTGACGTTCGATTGAGGTGGTTTTGGTGTCTATATAGAGTTTTCTCCTAGCTTTAGCTAATGGCATAAGTTTCACACTCAAATTCATTTTCTATAAAAAAAAATTAGACACCAGAAACCATTTTACTACTTTTTTTCTAAAAATTCACACAACAATGATGTTCTAACTTAATCACAAGTGTTAAAAGCCTACACCAACCTTTCGACCACACTTAATAGACTCTACCGGACCTGTGTAATGCACCATATGTAATTAAAAACACATAAACCTCAATTTAATCACTCAAACCTAAATTTCTCAAAACACAAGGGGGAGGAAATTCATGCACAAAACTATCATTTTCATTTTAAATCATTCAAAATATACATGTTCCTATTTGCACAAGTATTTTGGCCTTATTCAAGAGTTACAACCAAAACTCACTAACCCAAAGCACAAAATATACAAGTTATATGCTATAATAATGTAAGTAGTATAAAAAATATCATAAGATTCATAGTTGGTAATCAAATCAACATTTTTACACATTAAACCACATAAAGGCATACAACAGAACTACTCTGGAACCCTATGCCTCAACACGTTTCCCCCGATCTATATCTGATGAGCTAGGCCTTAAAAATATTAAAAATTAAGTAGTGAGTACAATCACTTAATAACTAAGTTTTACTTAATCTATAAAATTGCATATCAATTAAAAGCATATGCAAATAGGCCAAAACACATAAGCACAACACATGTGATGAACTTAGTTACGGTTCACAATACTAACAACTGTGTGACTGAGCCCAAAGGCAGATATATCCATATTAAATGACTAAGCACAACATGGGGTCGCAATAATACCAACCATGTACCTCTAACACATGTCGGACCATAATAATAACAATCATGTAGCTGGATTCTAAATGCATGATCAAATACCAACTTTATACTCTCCTGTTACCTCTGACATAAAATCAATGGCTATCACGTGGCTATGTCCTTTACGGACTAATCTAATCTTTCACTTGTAAGGAATTATTAGTTTAAAATTAACTCACTCACCTATGTAATCCAGTTTTTTCAAATACTAATAACCATGGGGTGTCATGCCCTTAATCTAGCCTTCTCATGAACCGATGGAGACTAGTTAGGTTTAAGTTCCTCATAAAACAAGTGGAATAGTTCTAAATCAACAATAGGATAAGGGCCACCTCCCGATTTTATAGTTGATACCAAGGCAAATTCTCGATTCTAATGATTACTACCAATACCACGTAAATGTAACCATCTACTCCTCTCCTTAGGTGATCTCCTACCAATAGTTTGCCATGCACATTTCACATATACTATACAAATGTGACCCAATTCACAATCCCATCACAAATTCACATCAATATCTTACTCCTAATAAACCAAAACCAACATACCACATATAGTGCATTTTCAAAATATCACTTTTTATCAATTACACCACAACATGCCATCAATTAAAATCACGAATCACAAACACATAGCATGCAAGAAGTTACCACTTCTAAAGCCATTTCACAAGTTCATCACATTGTCGAATTGCATTAATAGTTCAAAATATTAACCATGACTCAAATCAACCCATTTTTAACAAATAGTCAATTAATATTCAATTATATAAATTAGGTTTTCCTTGATTATCTTAAACCTTTAACAAGTCAAAAGTTTACCCTCACACTAATCACTTCTAAAGCTTCTTTCAAGCTTGAATGGTGCCAAAAATGAATTTTCTACAATTATATAACAATGATATCATCATTGTCCCATTTGTAGCAAATTCCAACACCATAACTCCACATTCCCTACTTAGTCAATCTTAAAATTTACTACCCATTCATACTTAATGGGTTTACTAGATTCCATTGATGTTTATTGACCTCAAAGAATTAATAAACTACCATCAATAAGCTATCAACACTCACAACAACCATATTAATTGCAAAATTCACATGAAAATGACCCTTTCCAACTACCTCAAACAACTCTCATTATATCCATTTCAACTAATGAGTTCATATCCATAGCTCTTATAGAAAAAAAAATCAATCTCCTAACTCAAATCTTTATAAATGTGGGAGAGAAAGGAAGATGAGGGTATAATCTACTTACCTTGGGCGTTGGAAAGTTTCAAACTATCCTCAAAGGTCCTAATGTACGTGCCTTAGCAGAGCCCAATTGTGCCTCACATTTTCCTTCTCTTTTATCTTTTGATTTTTCCAACAAACACGAATCAGATTTATCTAATTTTTAGCCATGCGTCATAATGTACGCTACTCTCTACCATAATGTGTGGCACAAAGAAGCCCAAAACATGCCTGATTGCCTTTGTGTATCACGATGGATTGTCCACACATCGCATTATGGACACAGAGGGCTTTCTTTCACTTTTATTCCTCTTTCCATGCCCATATAGTGTAACTTCAATTCGGACCCATATCTTGGGCCGAAATCAAAACCAAATTCACTAATTAGGCCCCTTTGACAAAACACCTCGTCAATTCATTAATCATACTAATTAAGCTACTTAATCTTGATTAAATTTCTCGGCTATTACATTAGCCATTTTTTAAAGTTATGTTAGTGAATTCCTAAGTGATGTTAGTGGATCCCATTTTGACAAGCTAGGTTAGTGAAATTTGACAAGTCACGTTAGTATTAATATTCTTTACTAAAGTTAGTGTCTTCTTTAGTGAAGTTTGTATTTTCATAAGCAGCCTTGGAATATTTCAAAAGTGAGTTTTATGTTATAACAGCATTTAAACTTCAAAGTTTGAATTACTGTGAAAAAATTTATTCTCAAATAAGGTTTTATGTTTTCATTGGTTATAGTAGCAATATTCTCATGCTACATTAGTGATTTCAGCAGCCTTATGTGATGATAACATTTACACTTTCACATATTTAAACCTGAAATGGATATCATCATTAAATTACATTGATTTCAAAACATGTATACCATATTTACATCCCTTTTTACACATAAAATATTTCATCTACCTAAATGGTACTTCTACAGTCTTCTTCCTAAAAAACAATGTAAACTGAAAATTTATTTACATAACTTATCATCTTTACAAGTTCAAAAAATATGGTGTGGGTGTCTATACAAAAAGTCATTTAATAGCAAAATTTTACTATAAATTTCAAGTCGGCTGCAATACTTTCAACTCCTTTCATTAATGACACCATCTTCAATAACTCTTTATGATTTATGCCTTCTTTAATCAATTTAGAAATTAATCTACCACCTTCATAGGTTATCTTTCCTTGTAAATCTTTTACAAAATATTCTTCAACGTGAAAATAACAAAATACTTTTTTTGCCAAAGTACTTGCCATATGAAAAATAAACATGCAACAACTAGAAGTAACACACAAATTTATTATTTCATAACTATCCTTCTTGTAATCCCAACCATGATTATAACAATTCAGCATTCATATTATATTTTTCAATATTAATGCACTTTTCATCACAGAACAGAAAATTTCAGCATTCATATTATATCTTTCTTGTTTTTCACTCAATTTTTTAACACTATCGTTCTCAGAATTCATTTATTATGTGTGACTATATATATAATCTATTAATCATCAAAAAGATTATTTTTTTTCTTAGCTATAAAAGAGAAATGATATAAGACAGCATTTACAAAGATATAAAAAATTTTGTTGCATGCATGACTGAGAAGATGTAAAAGATATATAGAGAAGATAAAATTGCAGATTTTTCTTGTGTGCAAGACAGAGGAAAAAATATAAAAGAAGCAATGCATGTAATTATTTATTACTAAGAAAGGAGAAGATGATGACCCAGATGATGATCCACTCTACTAATTTTTTGCCCATATTTTCATACATGGGAGAAGATTTTTTGTGCCCAAAAACAAGAATAAAAAACACGACATAAGCTGTTTTGTTGTTACCTTTTAGTGCTTAGAGAAAATTTTTTTTTATAAAGTTGGATATATTTTTTACCTCATAATTCTTAATTAAAATTTTAAAATATTATAATCTTTAATTAAAATTTATATCCTTAGAGTAATTGTCATTTTTTCTTCTTTATTTGCCTGACAGTAAGCCACTAGACTAAGGCACAGACAAATTATTCTAGCTGTCCTATCCCATGTGCCCTTGCTTCTTTTTTGGAGAATTATTCATAGGCCTTAGGCAAAAAAAATTAAATACCCATAAGGCCCCCAAACTTCATTTATTACCAATGCATCTCAAGAGAAGTGCGTGCGTGTGATTTTGCTTGATCATGAAAATACCATGTCGTCCCTGCCAAATAAAATACAAATGGTGGCCAAAAATTCAAGTTTAAATCAATTGCCTCCTAATCCTCACTTGCTCGATTATGCTAAGTAGTTTTATTAGTGGCGAAAGTGCCTTTTCATTTAAGACCCTAATCACATTTACTTCTTCTGAGACCTGTTAATAATAAATAAAATTCGAGAGCCTTCTTGAGAATTAATTTTATTACACACATCTGAGAGTAATTTTCGCTTTTTTTGGGGGCCCGGGGGGGGGGTGTTGGGGAGGGGCGGCGGCGCGCTCAGTAGTCAGATTTGTTTGGCCTCTTTCAATGAAAACATACAAAAATCTATTATTTAGCTATCTGCGTCATGCATGACGATTGACGGGAATTCAGATATCGACGCTATAAATATTAAATCGTATTCCTTCTTTTTTTGTTTTTTTATTGTAAGGGTAGGCGACTTCGTAAATTTTTATATTTTATTCTTTCTTTAATTCTAATATCTTTTTTAATTAAAAAAAATATAAAATTTCGTCTGTATATATAAAATATTTTTTAAAATATTTTTTATTTTTAAATATAAAAAGTTATTAACATATTTTTTAATGAATGAATCATTATATCTTATTAAATTGAAAAAAAATATAAGTATTCTTATTAATTTACTTTAAAAAAAATATTTATTTTTTATATGTATAATAATTAAAGATAAAATTAAAATATTACTGTGCTTTTAATTAATTAATTAAGTTTTATTAATTTACATGATTTGATTAAAATTAAAAATATTTTATATATAAAAATATAGGGAGTAGACAATAGCACACGCATTATAAACCATGCCAACTAAACTTAAAGGAATCCGATCAATAAATTGATAATCACAACTAAAAGATTTTTCTTGTGAAATATCGTCGTCTTTTCTCGTAAATATCTGCTCAACTGTGTCCTATCGATCTTCAATTATATTAATGTTTTATAAGTTACTTTGGGCTGTTTAGAAATCTATTTTAAAAATAGTTTTCTGTTCTTTAAAATAAAAAAATAAAAAAATATGTTTATAACATATTTTTAAAAAGTGTGTCAGAGAACAAAAAAAAATAAAATATTATTTTAGAGAATAAAAAAATAAAAATAACTTTTGAGTGTTCTGTGATTATTATTCTAGAGAATAAGGGAGAATAAAAAAATACCTATTTTTATTATGTTTTTATTCTCAAAATATATTTTATAAAATATCAGTTTTTAAAATAATAAAATAAAAACAGTTTCAGTCTTCTTATCTTTTGTTTGTTTCAGTGGACAGTGATAGTAGAAAACAATAATTATTTCAATTTTTTTGTTTAAATTCATCCTTCTCCCAAATTGTTCTAATTATTTTAAAAGTCACTTAAATTCCATTCATCAAAGCACTGTATTTAGAAGTAGTGTTCAGGAATCCTTTTTTTTTTTTTTGAGAAATTCTCGCTAACATTATATTTATGTCGATTGTGAGTAAAATTTGTGTTTTTTTAGCCACATGTGATTTGAGGTGGGTATGATTCTACATGATCAGAACGACGGTGGCTAGTCACAAGCAAACGACGGTGTCTTGGATAGAAGTGCATTACTTGGTAGCGAAATGTGGGTGTGCCCAATTTCTTATGTTTATTAAAATGCGGAACAAAAATAAAATGGAGAATGTCATTGAAGGCCCCCCTAGAAGAAACATAATTGTTGTTTTAGGTTTATATAATTCTGTAATTTTTCTACAGGTTCATGTATAGAACTGTAATGAAAATATGTTATGATGTAAGAAGTTTAAAATATCCCTAATATATATATATATATATATATAAAGGCAATTTGTTATTGTTATTTATAGACGCCTTCACAGAGACTTCTCATATATGTCCTGAACACACACACTCCATGTGGTTGTGTTCTCTCCCACACAATATACAACAAAATCCATTGAAATTATTGACTGAAAATTTTTATCAAGGAAGGACAAAAGAGAACAATCATGAGGAGAAAGCATATTACATAAACCACACCATGACAAGAGGTAATAATACAAATCGTTTATTATGTATATGAACGGAGTTTATTTGGCATCAACAGAGTAAAGTGGTGCATGGGGCAGAGCATTACATTGAGTTCAGTCTCTGGAAATGACACAGCTCCAACCTTCACCACATTTGCAGCACGCTGTATCACCAGCCTCCTTCAACTCCTCTTTGCACACCTTTTCCCCCTCGCTACATCCAGGGGAAAAAAGAAGAAGAAGAAGAATCAAATCCAACATTATTTGACACTAGAATCGTAAATTATATAATTCATGATGACAGACATCTTGTACGTAACTAGGTGGGGATCAATAAAGTATATATGGACGTACATCGTCGGGGAGCAATTTTCACCACATTCAATGGATTTGCCGGCATCAGGACCTGAGGTCTTGGTTACAACACACGTCCAACCCTCTCCACATTTGCAGGACACGTCTACTGAGTTGCCTTCAGGCGTGACTTCCCTGCACACACACATACTGGGACTTGTGATATTCAAGCTATATATGAATCAGATGTAAGATACGTAGTAGTTAATTATTGAAGCAGGTGAATCGAAGCTTTAAGGACTGAGATTAAACCATAAGTTTTCAGTGGGTAAGGTTTGAATTGATAGAAGAGGAGTAAGTAACATGGAGTTAGGGGAACCTGAGAGTCTGAGACTGAGACTCCATGTTCCTTCTTCTTCTTCGTTCGTCTTCAATATCTTTGGTTGCCTCGTGGGTGGTCTCTCCGGCTTATACAAGGATTTCTCAATTCTGTTTGCCGGCTGCGCGTGTCTCTCCTTGTTATCTGGACTTGTCTATCCTCATTTGGCAATTAGCTTCTATGCGGTTCTCACTTCCAAACACACGTCCTTTTGTTCTTCCCTGTTTGGTTAATTTGCGGGGGAAAAAAATTCTCTTCTGTCGCGTATAAAAAACGATGTATACATGGAGCCCGGTTTCGGTGCTTTGCAGCTTGCTGAGTACCATGGTGCTCATCATAAAAAAAGATCTGAACCATTCAGATTTTAATTTGGATGGTCCAGATTTTTTCAATTTTAATTTTAATTTTAATTTTATAAAAATAAAATTTATAAATTTTTTTGATAAATATATTTATCATCAATCTGGATGTATTCATCATCAATCTAGACAGTACTAATTAAATTTAGATGGTTCAATTTAATGTTATAATTTTTATAAATTAACTATCTGGATGTATTCTAAACAGTTCAGATTCAGCATTAAATTTTTACCTGCAAGGCCTAAATTTAAATTTTTCATTTTTATTTTATTAAAATAAAAAATTATTAAAAAATTTAATATTAAATCTGTCTTGTCTAGAGTACATCTAGATAATCAGTTTATAAAAATTATAATATTAAATTGAATTACTTAAAGTCTTACATTAAATTAGTACTATTCAAATTAATGATAAATATATTTATTAAAAAATTATTAATTTTATTTTTATAAAATTAAAATTAAAATTAAAATTAAAAAAATTTGAATATTTTTATAAAATTAAAATTTAAATTTAAATTTAAAAAATCTAGACCATTCAAATTAAAATCTGAATGGCCCAAATTTTTTTATGATGGGCACCATTTGCTGAGCACCGAAAGCGGACTCGGTAAAAAGATCACCGCAATTATTGGGACTCAGTAAGATGAGCACCGTGGTGCTCAGCACCAAAACATTGCCGTTTGGGAGTGTTTTTTTTCTTTTACTTTTTTAAACCACAAATTTATCATAATAATAAATAATTATTATAAAATTATTATTTTAATATTTAATAAACTAATAAATATTAAAATGTTAAAATTGAATCTGAATAGTTTGAATAAAAATTTTAGTCTGAGCATTGAGAACTATACTAAAAAAATAAAAATGATCTGAACAATTTAAAGTAGGAGTTGAATCTAGCAAAATGAGCCAGTTTCTTACACTATAATAAATCAATGTTTGAATTCTTATTAAGAGAATTACCTATATTTAATATTTGACTATGCTTTAAATGATATTATCTCTCATAGATAAACAACTGTGCAAAATTAATAAAATAAAAAAAATTATTTACAATTTTAATATTTTCAATACAATTTTGAATTATTCAGATCAAAATTTATATATAAACTAGTTAATCTATTTATATTTAATTTTAATATTTATTTGTTTATTAAATATTAAAATAATAATTTTATAATATTTATTTATTGTTATAATAAATTTATAATTTAAAAAAGTAAAAAAAAAATGCTGAGCACCATGTCGCTCATCTTACCGATTCCCAATTATTGCCCCTTTCCTAGTTCCATACGGCTCTTTTTAGTCCACTTGTTTGGCATATATATCTACCTGTGAAGAGACATTTATTATTTTTAAATAAAACTACAGTGGACACCATGCATGGATTGATTATTGACCCTGCTATAATCCATTAACGTTTTTTTCAGTTTTTTTTTGGAAGCATATGATCTCAAGACAATCACCTCGTCATTCATCTAAATTGCATGATTTTAATATTCAAAAAATATTTCTCCATCTTATATTTGAGATGGGAATATACAGAATGCATTATCTTGTTTGGTAAAAGTAAATAATATGATGGATTATTGAGTAGTGACAATCAATGGCTGCAGTAGTGATGGGCGAGTAACTTTCGTTGGTGTATTGATCTTTGGGGAAGACGCAAGTGACAAATATTAAAAAAAATATCATTCAAGGATCATTGAAGATATATTAATCAACAAATGGCTAAATGTTAATTAAAAAAAATCAAGAATATTATAATCTTTTTCTATCTAAAATTATTTTCCAATCAATCTTCTAATCCTATAGTAATATTATAGAATTTTTTAAGTCCTTGTTTAATATTATCTTCGATGATATTTTTCCTAAAATATTTTTGTTTCTTGCTCCAAATTAAAAATGATTTTAAAAATTAAAGATGTGTTTAATGCAATGATGAAATTTATTATAATATTTTTAAACAATAAAGCATTTAGTAGGAATAACATTTATGCTTTTTTTTTTCAATCGGAATGACAACTTCTCCATCATCATATTAAACCAGTTTGATTGCTCATCCTCATCGCCTCTAAACTGTTCGAATATAATTTTCACAGTATAAATCAATAGCTTTTTCAAGAGATATTTTTTAAATAAAAAATTATTTTTAACCGTTTATATATTAGATATGAAGGGCGATGAGTTCTCGATATCAGTAAAACTTGTTCCTCGTCACATGCAACTGCTAATGTTACACAGAATTTTTCCCATGATATCATCAGTCACTTCACCTCATTTATGCATATATATGTTCTTTTCTCAAATACTATGACAAGGATCATTATTAAATAATATAATTGGGGGATAAAAGGAAATCACATAGGATCTTGTGCTCTTGACTGGGTCCATGTGCATATCAGATCGTGGGATCTAATTTGCGTCTCCTCATGTACTTTACTGCGATGAAGTATTTTAAAAGGGTCGATCCGGATTCCATTTGATCAGTTTCCTCTCTATATTTATTTTCAATCCACCCTCCGTTGATCCCAATATTGGATCCTTTAAGAATTATTTTATTTTTGGTTTTCCCTTTCCCTTGCTTTTCTCTTAAATTACTTGAATCTTCTTTTTCTACTTCCAATCTTTCATTTCATATTTTCATTTCAATCTTTTTCCACGTTCGTTGATGCAAACATTTATTTGATCAAGTATAATATCCAAGTCGATACATATATAACAGAAGTGACGCACACACGATCAGATTCATGGGGATACATAACCCAAGCGACGAGTTTCAACACACAGTATAATATTGCGATGCTTTATTTTGAAACCAACCACACAGACTGAGATATAACTAATATTATATACTGGAACATTGATTTGGCCTAGGCAGCACAGGTGCAGGGGCCAGAGCATTCGAAGCCCTTCTGGGAGTCAGAAGGCTGAACCCTGGAAATCACACAGCTCCATCCTTCTCCACATTTGCAGTATGATCCGCTACTTGCAGCATCACCCACATCCTTCACCTCCTCTCCGGGAACTCCTACCCCATCTCTGCATCATCACACAAACCAAATTCATTTTGTTATATGAATTTAGAAAACAAGTTGTCATCTGACTTGTGGGCAGATCTCAGTGGTGTTGATGTAACGTACATAGAGCAGTCGCAACTTTCAGCACATTTAAAGTAGGGTTTGCCGGCATCGGGGCCTGAGGTCCTGCTGATCTCGCATGTCCAGCCTTCCGCGCATTTACAGTACACGCTCCCCAACTTGCCTTCCACCGGCACTTCCCTGCTGCACATATGTGAAGCTTTTCACCAAACAAAATCTCAACATGTAAACGTTAGATCATAGAAGCGATCCGAGTCAGAAAAGAGAACCTGATCTGGCCTTGTGACTCAGCCATCTTCCTTCTTCGATATTGGGTGACCGGGACTCTCGCTCTCCCACTCCCGCATTTATATATGCATTATTCGTCTGTTCCGTTTGCCAATTCGCTTCCCACTTGAAAGCTCAAAGAGTCCAAATTACCCTCTTGTTCCTGAGGCCCCTGTCATGAAGTACGGTGGGTAAGCTTGTCAATTCGTTCAAACTTCGTCTGCCCTCTTGCTCATTATTTTATTTTATTCTTTTTAGTCCCTTCAGTTTCATCTTTATGCAAATAGTCCCTATAATTTTAAAAATATAAATAATGACCATAAACTGTTAGGCCAGAGCTAATCTCATTGTCTTGTTAACCCCTTTAATTTATTAAAATGGAAATAAATTAATCAGGTATAATTAAAAATAAAAGGTCAAGGAAAATTAAAATATAGCTTTTACATTGGGTTTAAACAGAATGTGGGAGAGGCCAAAAAGTGATTTGAGTATATATATCAGCAAAAAGGTTAGTAGAGTTAAGCATGCGTCGGCAAAATTAATTTTGTTAATACCAACTCATAGTTTTTATATGTATTTTACTTTTTTAAAATGAGAAGGGACTATAAACAATGAATTGAAGCTATAGAAACTATAAATAAAACACAATCAAAGTTCAGGACCTACAATTGTACTTTTCCTTTTTGTTGTTGTTAACCCATCAATTGTGGCGCAATAAAATTAAACTAATGTAAACCGCAAACTAGGACAGAAACAAACGTATTTTATTGGTGCTGTTAACCCATCAATTGTCATTCCCATGTTCCACAGGCATCTTTTTCGGTCCCGCCACTGGTTATGCATTTGGCCTTTTTGCCATACATTGCTGTTGCATGCCTTGTACTGGACCTGTCTAGAGAGTTCAGCTGCTGGATCCACATGGTGACGCCATTGTACAATTGATTAAATTGAGAAAGGATTCATAAAGATTAGGAGCCACCGACACAAATTGAAGATTAAAAAAATCTATTATCCCTAAAATTAAAATTGCAATATTTGTTAAGTGAAAATATACATATAATATTTAGCCATTAGCGTCATGCATGACCTGAGTTGAGATACCAATATAATATTATAAATCTTAATTAAATGCCCAATTTTTTATTGTAAGTGTTGGAGGACTTTGTAAATTTTTATATTTTGTTCTTTTATAGTTTATAGATTATAATGATATCATATAATTCACATAGCCATTCTCATCTCATGGAATAAGACTTCTTGTTATTGATTTTTCATAAACCTTTTGATTCAAAAATATTTTCAAAGCCTATATGTACAGCCTCCGGGCTTATTCTTTCTTCTATACATCTTATCTGGGATGCTCAAATGCCAATTCACTACGAGTGAACCATGCCATCTGAACATAAGGGAATCTCGTCAATAATTGATAAATCAACAAAACCTTGTATGATATAAAAATCCAAATTAGTTGAATTATTGATAGGTTGTTAATAATTGATCATATTTTTTAAATTTTGTATCACATTATTCTCCTATTAATTATTAATAAATTAAATAGGAGAAAAACAAAAACATAACTACCACTCCTTTATCTTGAAACAAAATAGATTGATGAAACTAATAAATAGCTTTAATTTTGTCAGAATTCAATATCTTTTTTTTTCAACCAACATGCCTTCTTATTTACTCTACTTGATGCCCTCTCTTTAATTTCTTCATTACACACTTTTCGTTCATTGAAGGGTAAATTTGATCAAATATATATATTAATAAATACTTTCTTGAAAGTGTACGATGTCAGTTGTTAGGAAACAAAGCAAAACTCCCAAAACGTTATTTTGGCTCAAAATGGCTGGACTACTATTCATCTCTTGCGCCCAATTTTCTTCCCTCTTTGGTATCTTCAGCCGGAGACAACATCATCATCATCATCCTTATTATTGCTAAAATGTGTAAAATCTCTCTAAATTTTGAGATAGTTACATATGATCTCTCTCACTTTTAAACATTTAAAATTAATTCTTCTAATCTTTAATTTTATTTTTCAAAGCCGCTACCATTAATTAATTATGTTATGTTATTAATAAAGTTTTGTCAAATTACAATCAAAGACACATGGCACATGACATGGTGAAAAATATTTTTATTAATTTTTAACACAATTTAAGGGGGCAAAAATGTAATTTTCACTTTTAATGCATATGACTATATCCTTTCTTTATCTTTAGTTGAGCAACATTGTTTTTATTGTTCACACAATTTAAAAGCTTTTTTGTATTAAATAAATGAAAAGACAAAAATATCTAAAAGTTGTCACTAATAAAATTTATACAAATAAAAATTTATCTTTTAATACAAAAAAAATTCTCTATTGGTAACAAAAAAACATGGATAAAACTAATACAAAAGTATACATTTAAAAAATAATATAATTTTTATACATTTATTATTTTCCTTACATAAGATGTTATGTAAGCTTAAAGCTTTTATATGTGGCTTTTCTTAATCTGACATGGCAAATAATATTAATTATATAACAAAGTAATTAATAGCAAGGGGCTTTTGAGGTTAATTTTAAAGGAAAAATATAATCTTTGATCCCTATAATTTTATCAGGCTTTGCTTTTAATCATTGTAGTTTATTTTTAGTGCTTTTAGTCTCTGTAGGGACTAAAACCATTGAAAAAATGAAAATTATAGGAACTTAAAATGTAAAGGTCGTCCAATCTTTTTAAAACTATAGGGATTGAAAATATTGAAAAAATTACAAAGACTAAAAATAAAACTCAATAAAACTATAAGAACAAAGATTGTGTTTTTTCAATTTTAAATGTTTAAATGTGAAAGAGGTCATATGCAATTATCTCAAAGTTCAGGATTTTATGAATTTTAGCCCTTTTTTTAATTAAAACTAAATCATCATCCCTTCCTAGAATACACAAATTTCAGAAGAAGGAAAAAAAAACAGAATACTTGTATTTACAGTAACAAAATGTTATAGCAAATCAGAACTTAAAACCGAGAATATGGATTGGATTTATCAAACTACTTGTCTAAGTCCTTTTTCCATGTTCGGACTTAATTTGAAAATTGGAATGATTCAGAATCACAGCGAAAGTGTAATGTTGAGAAAATGTATTGGACAGAAATCAAGTTGTATTTTTCTCAGTGAAAAGTAGGGACTTCTTGAAGTATAGGAACATTGCTCAAAAATCGGATGTTACACTGAAAATATCTGCATATAACATAACAAACTCATAAAAGATTAGTCTAATTAAGAAAATTATCTCAGATACTAATCAAGCAAAGATAATGTGTTTTGAAATTAAAATATATGAAAATATAACAATTCACTTTAGATTCATCTGCCATCTATTTAGAAAATTATCTCAAATACTAATCAAGCAAAGATAATGTGTTTTGAAATAAAAATATATGAAAATATAACAAATTCACTTTAGATTCATCTGCCATCTATTTATTTATAGGATTTTAGTAGTTCAAATTGTCCTATCAGTTATCATAGAGTTAAAAACAAAAAAAAAAAAACAAAATTGATTTACATGATACTTTATGTTGATATACTCACGGATTCTCCCACCCGGTCATCCGCCAGGGGCAAAATTGGGATTTCAATCTTTACCCCACTGTCAGCGGTGTCTTGGCGTGGTCAGTTTTGGGCTGCGCCTTTGCATTAGATGTGAACAATACTCTTGAAGCTGGATTGGACCACTTATGGACTACATATGACCCAAATTATGAATATGGGCTCCAGCAAGACTGCTTTCACCAATAAAAACTCTACAATTTCAAATTTTCTTTTCATAAACCAACGGGGGTTGGCTTTGGTGGAGTGGCGAAGTAATGTTCGAATCTTCATCAGGAAAGATACCTATATTTAATATTTAATAGTATTTTGAATATGATGAATTCCAATAAGAGGATATCTATAAGGAAAAAATTTTCTTTCTATAAAAATAACAATTATATGGGTTGCCTGTGTGTGGGTGCGTTATATTTTGACTTTGATTAATTACCCAATTTCTTTAAGTAAGGTTCATTGACGATTTAAATTCATGAGCCAAAAAAAATTGAAAATGCTATTCCTTATTAAACTTGATAATACTTAAATTTACTTTAATAGGATAGAGCTTGTTATGAGTCTTACATTAGAAACCTTACACGTAAAGTGGAATTTATAAATTCAAAAAATTTTCTTATCCTATAACATAGTCTTTTTGAGATGAGCTTTCGCTTTTTCTTGAAACTTATCTTCATAAAAGTAGGATTTATAAAAATTTACTGAAACTAATATCAAAGTGCTAAATTCCTATACCCTTACGAATAAGAAGCTAAGGCTGGTTCGTCTCTGCTGAATATAATATCTGAAACGTCAGTTAAAAATATATATGGTGGGAATAGGAATGGCGTTATCAAGATCAAGTACAGGCGTGGAGAAAGCAGAATGAGATGGATGGGTCCCACTCTTCAATCTATTTGCATGTGATCGTCCCACTACGACGAAGCTCGTGGAATCCGTTTCTAGTGCCTCAGTTCTCATAACATATCCCCACACAAGCTTCCCGTCGCACTCAAGCAACACTTATACTTCAACGTTCAACACTCCAGAATAAAGACTTTGAAGGGCCCAAAGTCTCGTGCTTTTACTAATGCTCTTATAAGTTTGAGTTTCACCAAATGGCTCGAGCTATTTTGGTATAAGAGACAAGTATTCATAGTTAATACGTATGGTAAAGTCTAACATAAAGACCTCCTTATTTATTGCTGTGTATTAGTTGATTAAGTTCGATTAAAACTGTCCTTAAAGGGAATTCTAATGCAAGCCAGCTAAACTGTCCTTATTTATTGCAGAACGTAAATGCTCAGTTTGATCTGGACAATAAGTCAATGGATATTGATGAATAGAGAGTTGATGTATGCTTGGCTGGAAGCCACTCATTGCAAAATCAAATGATAAAAAGTATTTGAATCTGGAAGGGATATAATATAATGGCCACATGAAAAAAAGGAAAAGAAGGGACGAAAGAGAGACAAAAGTATTTGGGGAGAATAAAATATTACATAAACCATGACAAGAAAGCAAGCGAAGTAATGAAGAGAGGGTGCATGGTGACTTGAAGAGCTCATGAGCACGTCTTCCTTTAACTTACTACTTATTCAAATTATTCTGTAATTATCAGTTCATGGTAACTCAGGAAATTTTGATCATGCAAACAAACAAGGCTCTTTGGTCTTCATCTAGTACTCCAATTTATCATGATGGTAACGTTTAACAAAGTGTAGTGGATGATCTTATAAGTCAAAACCATATATACAGTGTAACACTGTCTTGCTGTCTGCAAGAAAGTTGTTCTGTCAATGTCTAGGAAAACTAAAAAGTCTCCCATAGTAAATACAGCGAATTGACATTGACCAAAACAAAGGCGTATTCTAAATGGAAATTAACTTGAATATGTTAGTGTGAAATAGCCAATAAAAAACTAGATATGGCATTCCAACTTTATTGATATGAGTAACTAAAGCTATACTGAGTTTATATATATAAGGAAGGAATATGTGCAGAATGTAAGAGATCTTAAGTTGAAACCTATTAGTCCTTGGCTTATTAAAAAGAAGTTTACTAAGCTCAGTAAAGTTTATCTTTTTAGTGTTAAGAGTGATTAATTAAATAACTTATCTTTTCCATAAAATTTAATGATCAACTTATATATTATTAGATCGTTCAAATATAAGTGAACCTGAGACAATGTAAAAAATCTCACATCAAATAAAGTTGAACTTAATAACTAATATATAATAAAGTGAAAGAGTCTTTAAATTTGAGTTTTAAAATTTTGAATCAAGATATCTTCTTTTCATTACTTTTACTCGCTTCTCCTCCATCCCCGTAGCTACACTACGATGTGGTCATTCAAATGCGCATATATATATGATTGGTGTACTGGTTCATTTGTCGGCAGATTTGAACCATCCGCTCAAGGAAATGAGCACCAAGTGAAATTCTTAACCGAAATGTTACAGAAGATAGAGTTTGTTTCCAACTACTCTGGTCCATGATTCGAAGTTTCAAAAATGTGCATTTCAGTTTCTGGAATTACATACATCTTGGTCAAGTGGCACGAAAGTATTATGTTGCTTGTAACCTGAAATTTCCTTTATTTGTTGAGGATTAGGTAATAGGCGCAGGCCATTAATAAATAGAAAATCCATCAATAGTCCAAGCGGGAAATCAGTTGGAAGAAGCTATCACTAGCTTGATTTTTAGAAAGTATACGTGTATCTCGTAGGGACGTGCGACCTAACTTCACATTCAGCGGATTACAAATAATACAATTCGAGTTTTTGAGCTCCGATCGACCTTTCCCTGTGTCTACACATACACCTACATTTGCAAACCTACAACCAACAGTGTTTTTGGATTTCAACGCCTGAATTAATATTCCCATGGCTACTGCTAAACTTATTGCCAGTTTTGTTTTCTTTGCGTTGTTGGGTTTAGCTGCATGCTCAGCCGCTCGACCACTCCTTACCACTCTAGAGGGCGATGTCAACTTTGGTCCAGGTCACGGCATTGACGGTGTCGTTGCTGGAGATTATGGTGGTGGTGGATACGGAGGAGGTGCCGGAAGAGGGGAAGGTGGTGGTGCTGGACACGGAGCTGCTGATGGTGGGGATTGTGGTGTAAGTGGAAGTGGCAGTGGAGAAGGCCGTGGCGGTATTGTAGGTGGTGGCAGTGGTGGAGCCGGAGGGAGTGATGCAAAGGGATATGGCAGTGGAAATGGAGGTGGAGTTGGTGGAGGATATGGAGGTGGCGGTGGAAGTGGCGGTGGCAGCGGAGGGGATGCCGGAGGACGCGGTGAAGGAGTCGGAGCCGGATATGGTATTGGAGGTGGAGGTGGAGGTGCGGGTGGCGGTAGCGGCAGCGGTGGATATTACCCTTGGGATTAATTAAGCGCCATAATTAATGTGTCCTCTCATCCTCATATATATAGTGACAACAATAAGAAGGATATTATCGAGGGCGTTTAGGTTAAACCATTAATGTATATACGTTCTTTACGGGCTACACTAATGTCCAATGCAGACGGTCTCAGCATATGTATCAAATTCCACAATTATTTCACAATATGCATGGAATATAATTATCATATATATGTGGGTGCGCGTGCGCTCGCATTATATTTTATTTCATTTTACAATCTTTTATTATATTTTGTATGCAACCTTAGACAAACGAAAAAAAGGTCTAATCTCAATTCTCACCGAATGAAACAGATGATTAGTTAAGTGTTATCATAGAACGAATAAACAGAGCATGAAGGATTATTCTAAATACTTGTATGATTCCCGTAAACTGATCTTGAGCTCCTATACTCTGCTCTTTAAGTCTCTTTCTAGGAAAAAAATTGTTAGCCCTGAATATTTATCATTTTGCAAGTCGGGCAGAGCCAGAAATTTTTATTAGGAGGCCAAGATGACAAAATATAAATGATAATTCAAAAATTAAATATATAAATTATCAACATAATATAAATATTTTAACATATATATTTATATTTAATTTTACACATGTATAATAATATATACATATATTAAATTTTGCTTATTAATTTTTCATGGTATAAAAATTATTAGTTATTATGTCTACGATAAATATTTTAATAATTTCCTTTTTAATATGAATTATTATTAAATTAGTAAAAAATTTATCATTCCTATAAGTATTAAATGATTTAAATATATTATTGGAATTTAAAATTTTGTTCAATATAATAAGCTTATTAAATTTACTATTTCATTTTTCTCAATTGATAATTGTAGTAAAAAAATATATTAAAACATTAATAATGCTCAATTGTAATCTTTATGTCAATGAGATCAAATTATATTAGAATAAAAACCATTCATATCATAAATTTTAATAGCTTAATTATTTTTAAAAAAGTCATTTTTTTATAAGAACATCATCATCAAACATCTTAACTTTTGGATAAGTACTTTTATAATAGATATCAAATACATAACATTTAATATATTTTGAAATTTTTATTACAATACTTAACAAAGTTTGTTAATAATAATTCTCACAATTTCTTTCATTAAATATAAAATAAAAATAAAATAAAATGGCATCAATACTTTAAGAGCATGTATAACATTATCTTATTATAATTACTTTATACATATGTAAAAGATTATATATAAAATTAAAATGAGAATTTCAACTAGTATTTTATAACTTCTATAATGTGTCAATTTAGGAGAGTCAAAAATATATAACCTCTACATTTTACTAGAAAAAAAATTAAAAGTTCAGGAGATTGTGGCCCTTGTCAGTCACCCCCACCCCGCCCTTGCTTTATTGTGCCATTTCTTGAGAGATATATATTATTGGGAAATATTTCCCCTTCCCTATATATTGAGCATATTCTAGCCAGCTAGAACAAAGTCCTGGTTCATGATATAATAAATTTTCATTTTTCTGTGCAGCATTTATTGAGCTATTCCAAAAATGCCCTCCTGAAAAAGTGTAAAGTGATTTAATTTTAAGATAATTTTATATTGCCTAAACTAACTTATCTTGATTCCGTGAATTAGTTGAAATTTGAAAGAAACTTATACTCCTGCATCACAAATTATAAAATATTTTTAAATAAAATCAAACATTTTAATAAAAATTATTAAATATACTTTACAATTTTATTTTTTTCAGAATAAAAAATATAAAATTTTAAAAATACGTGCCTTTAATTTAATATTTCATTTATGCAAGAATATTAAAGAGAAAAAATATAATGAAAAGGATAATATTGAAAAAAGCATCATTAATAAAATCTCCTATTGTTAAAGCATCTTATATTTTGAAATGCCAAATCTCTCCTAAATGTATCTTATTTGATCAAAGAGAATATACATCAATGTGTTTTAAGAACCAAACTAGCTGATTCGGTCGGTTAAACTAGGAAGAATTGGTCTAATGTCTAGTCCGGACATCACAACAAGATGAAGGTGCAAAGAATTGGTTTAAGATGGTGCAAAGAATTGGTTTAGGTTGAATCATCAATCTTATTTTTTTAACTTAATTAATCCACTTTTTCTAAGCTATACAATTATACAACCTTGTTAATAAATACCTAATGGAAATTAAAACTTTGCTGCTTGTTGTGATCCTCAAAGAGGCAGGTTTAGGATATTGAGTGGTCGAATAAAAAATCTTATTTTATATATTAACATGTGAGAAATAGTTAAAAGTGATGCATATTAAGCCAAGTAGTGTGTATGTATATATATATATATATATGGTTTGCTTGGTTATATAACTAATAAGGGAATCTGCAATAGCCCAAGGATTAGCCGAGGTTGTTTGATTCTTTCCTAATGTTTGGCCCAACTAAATAGAAGGCATGCATGTTTAAAGGAATAGCTTCTACTGTTAACTGTAGCCATTTCATGGTGCAGTACAGAAAGATAGCTTTTGATATAACATGCACATATATCAACATCATGAAGTGCGGTTTCTTTAGTACAAAGAATATTTGCCTAAGCCAACCAATCAAAACAAGAAAGAAAAAGATGAGGAGGTGGGGATATATGGGAGTGCATCAATGTTCGTAAAGGTTGTTGCTGACGCCGACAATGACCTCATAAATGTTTTAGACAAACATTATACTAAATGTTGAAATCTTGAAAAAAATAAAAACTCCAGTTCACTTTTCAAATAGTAGTTTTTTTTTTTAAGTGTAAGCATCATACTCACAGCATGAAATTTAATATTAATTAATAACTAATGGTGTCTTTAGGACTCTTGCAGTTCAATGCTAAACACAATTTTAATGGGAAATCAAATTTTGAAGCGACGCCAGTGGTTTTTGACTACGTATTTAACAATATTGCAAAACATGCAATTCAAGAACGACTAGTATAACATACAAAACATACAGAGAGTCCTGAAGAAGGAACCTGCATTTTTCCGGCTTTATACTCTTCTCGATTTGAGCACAATTAATACGAAAACTAAGTTTCAGATCGGAAGTGATTAATATCTCTCATCACATTCTCGATCTGTGCTTGCATGGAAATACTTGTATAATAAGCTAAAGGGACGTATACATTCGTTTATGGCATTAGCGATTCCACACGTAAATTTTTTTGGAGGAATACTTAATATGATCTAAAGCCATATAAGTAAAGCATGCATGCTCGTGTGCCTCATGACCTTTAACTTTTCTTCTCTCAAAGTCGGTCGATATTTGTATTAATTCCTATCTACCTTGAACGGTACAGCTTGGTCTTAGAATCACTTTCCAATCCACGCATTTAACGAATAATCTCTTGAATAGTAGACATGTATATTTGGTTTGAAGAGTAACCTATGATATATATCATACTGCCAGCAATTTGCAGCAAAAAGTAGCGAGTCGGCAGTGGCTAGGTGTGGTAGCTAGATATTTAGGCAGAGGAGGAGGATTAGTGGAGGAAGCAAGATTTTTATATACCTCGAGCCTTATCAAAAACTCCCACTTCATTAACTAAGGTATTAAAAATTGAATCGGACTTACCGTTATTGAACCAGTTAAAATATTAATTTAAAGATTAATGGTAAAAATCATAATTAAACCATAGCAAGACTCATAATGAACAAAGCATTTCACTAAATCAGTGCACTAATTGAATGATATATCAGTTCAACTAGTAGGATTGATCTAGTTTTTAACACTACACCATGAACTTTTATGTTTTTCTGTTACTTTGGATGTCTTTATTTTATTCTTTTGTCAATAATTTTGTAAGATGTAATATATACACACACATATATGTTTACAGGAATTAAATGATAGGCGGCATGCGAGAAGGTAAGATTGAGTTAAATAAATAATAAATTTGACAACGTGGGGTGAAAATCATGAAACGGAGTTGTGGAAGACAGCAGAAGCACACAAAGGGAGTGAGTAGTGGTGAGTGGGTTAGCTTACATACCTTTGTATGTTTGTAAATTGGGCCACACTGTGGGGACACCCAACTTCGCATCCCCATGTGCCGTTCAACCACCGTGCCTTTATACGCGCCTTCCTTCCCTATATAACTACGTCTCACTCCCTCCTTCGCTCAACCAAGCTTGTGGATTCATTCTTCTCTAGCAATTCCATGGCTCGGCACAGAACTCCCACTCTTGCCTTGTTTCTTTTATTGGCTCTCGGCTTATGTTCCGCGAGAAGGGCTCTCCTCACTTTTGATGGCCTCGGTGGCTTTGGTGCAGGACATGGAGGTGGCGGCGGCGCCGGTTATGGTGGTGCCATTGCTGGTGGTTATGGCGGTGGAGGCGGCTCTGGTGGTGGTGGAGGCTATGGACTGCGGGAGACCATGGTGTTGTTGGCTATGGAGGTGGTAGTGGTGGTGGAGAAGGTGGGGGCCTAGGATATGGTGGTGCAGGTGGTGGTGGTGGTGGGCATGGTGGAGGAGGAGGGGCTGGATATGGAGGTGGTGGGGAGCATGGTGCTGGATATGGAGGTGGGGGCGGAAGTGGCGGTGGCGGTGGTGCTGGTTATGGAGCAGGAGGAGAACACGGTGGTGGTTATGGAGGTGGTCAAGGAGGTGGAGCAGGGGGAGGCTATGGTGGTGGTGGAGAACATGGCAGTGGCTATGGAGGTGGTGCTGGTGCTGGTGGCGGATATGGCGGAGGAGAAGGAGCTGGTGGAATAGGCGGAGGCCACGGTGGTGGTGCTGGAGGCGGGTCAGGTTACGGAGGTGGAGGAGAGCATGGTGGTGGTTATGGAGGTGGAGGTGGAGCAGGAAGTGGTGGAGGCTATGGTGCTGGGGGAGAACATGGCGCTGGTTATGGAGGCGGAGGAGGAGCAGGAAGTGGTGGAGGCTATGGAGCTGGTGGAGAACACGGTGGGGGTTATGGTGGTGGAGCTGGAGGAGAGCACGGTGGTGGCTACGGCGGCGGTCAAGGTGGTGGAGGTGGTGCTGGCTATGGTGCAGGAGGAGCTCATGGAGGAGGATATGGAAGTGGGGGAGGAGCTGGGGGTGGTGGGGGCAATACAGGATATGGTGGAGGCAGCGGAGGGGGCTCTGGTGGTGGAGGAGGATACGGGGCAGGTGGTGAACATGGTGGTGGTTACGGAGGAGGAGGTGGATATGGTGGAGGCCATGGTGGTTATGTTCACTATCATCCTTGACGTCAATGGATTCCCCTGGGGCGTATCAAGAATTCAAGATTCAATAATAAGTAAAATGTGTTGATCCTATAATCATATTAATTAATAAGAATATATGCTTTTCGCTCTTCGGGCATTACTATTCATATGTAATGAAAATATGTCTGCCATATATAATTGCAATATCATGATAATATTCTGAGCTGTTTCAATATTAATAATATTAATATTTAAACAAAATAAATTATCTCATTTTATTCTTGGTTGCCTGATCATATTAATTATCATTACTACTATTATTACTGTTACTGCTACTATTATTATTATTATTTAACCTTATTCACACTCTGTTCTATATCTTTCCAATTCCAACGTTCCTCCTTTTGCACGATCCATCATAATATGTCGCTCTGGCTGATGCTTCACAAGTCGAAGATCATTTCTTTCAAACTTAAATACCAATTAATGGATAAAGGGCCGTAATTCTCAATTCTCACTGTTGATGAAAGGCCATAATTTGCTTAAAAGCTCAAGTCCGAAGATCGCTAATTTGAGAGGAACTCTGAAAGTAATATCACTCCAACCAGACTACAATATAAAATTTTTTTACTATAAGTATTGCTTGGTTTAAAATATATGAGAATCACATTCAATAATTCCTTAAAAAAATTATTCACAGATAAGAATGAATATGAAATTGATTATTATTAAAATAAAAATATAATTTACTTTTTTTTAATGAGACTTATTGTTAACCTTGTTTGTGAATAATTTCCTTCAAAAGCCCTTGAATGTAATTCTCCCTAAAATATAGGATATTAGGTAGTTTTATATTTTTTTCAATTATATTCTTAATTCATTTATCAGTACTCTTTTTAATAAAATGAAACATTGTAATTTCAATTATAATTATTAAGATTAAGTTATTTAATGAGAATATGATTGAAAAGATGTATAACTTCTTAAAAAATTAAGATTTCAGGCAATTTTTGTTCAAAATAATGAAATAGTTACTAATACTATTTATTATGATCAGATATAGTGCAGTGCTCGTTTGTGTGTGCATCTCTCTCTCTCTCTCTCTCTCTCTCTCTCTCTCATGGACGCACGCATGATAGGTTTATATTTAAAGCATTACTATATATTTTTATTTTATAAAATAATTTTTACAAAAATTTTTATCTGGACTGTACAGACTATATATGAATAATAAATATATATTAATTATAAAAATTGTAATATTAAATTGAATCCTTCAAATCAAATTTAAACCAAATTGAAAAAAAAATATAATAAATTTTTACTTTAGTAAATATAAAATAAAATAATCTCTTAAATCTAGACCATCCAACCTAGATCTTATTACAATGAGGAGCACTAAAGACCAACCTCACACATCACACGAGAGAAAGAGAACAACTACCAACTCGGAAAAGGAAGAGCGAGAGCGGAGGGGGATTATTGAGAAAGGTTACATTGGCTGGTGAGTGCTTTGGAAAAGCGTGTGACGGTGGTTGGAAAGGATGCGAATGTGAAGGAGGGGGTAGAAGAGAGAGGGATAAAGGTTTGTCTCCTTATCTTATTGGAAGCACGTTTGTGTTTAGGTCATCGGACATAGGGAAAGCTAGGGTGCATGAGAAGACTAATGGGCTTGTGAAAGATATTGCTAATGATTCAGAAGTTGCTAGAAAAAGGGCTATCCCTCTATCATACAAAGATAATCTTATTTCTACAAATGGTGATGGATTTCTCATGAAACATGATGAAGAGGATGATATAGTTAATTGATGGATATCGTACTTTAGAATGATGAATGCGAAGGAAGGTGCAGCTAATAAAAATCTGAATCGGATGATGAAGAGGAGGGAATCATTAGAGAATAAACTAGATACCCAACTCTAAAATTCACCGAGGATGAATAAGCTTCATGGTGTTAACCTTGGATGAATTCCTTGATTATTAAGCTCCGAGGGGCTTACCAACCAAAGAGGGTGATTGAAGACAGAGTGACTAGGATGTGGAAGCCTTAAGGTCACATGAAGGTTATCCCTTTGAGTAATGGATATTTCATTATCTCATTTGTAAATAAGGAAGATAAAGATTTTGCATTTCAAGAAGGGCCTTGGATGATAGATTATCACTATCTAGTTTAAAGGTGGAGAGCAAATTTTAATCCTTGAGAAGTAGATCTTCAATGTCATATTGCTGCCTGGGTTAGAATTTCAAATATCCCTGTTGAGTTTTACAAAGCAGAATCTCTAAGGAGGGTCGAAAATATGATCGATAAGACAATAAAGGTGGATTGGTCAACATATATACACAATAAAGGAGGTTTTGTTAGGATTTGTGTGGAAATTGACCTATAAAAACCTCTACTGCTTTTTTAATGTATTTAGTGAAGATCACAGCATTATATATGAAGGATTGCCCTTAGTCTGTTTTTGGTGTGGACTTTATGGGCATACGAGGGACTAGTGTTCATTGGAACAGGATAATTCTAATGAAGCCAACATAAAGACATTAGAGAACAAGAATGAGCAAGATAAAGGAAAGACCTTGATGAGTTCAGCTGTAGATATCATGACGGATGTAGAGGTATAGGAGTGTTCTGGTGATCGGAGTAAGGCAAATGACTGTTTGGGTTTGTGGAATCTCACACAGTGAGATTTTGCGAGAGGAATTAAAAGGGAGGATATATCGGGATATGCAAGAAGATTTGGATCGAAGGATCAGCTAACGGAGAGCAATATGACTCAAAATAGGCTCAATATCGATAGAAGATAAGTAACAGGAAATTATATTGCCACACATAGGGGAAATAGTCAGGGGAAATAGTCAAAGGTTGAACGATAGAGTGGTCTCCAGCCCAATTAAGCAGCCCAAAAGAGCGTTTGGGAAAGAGATAAAAACAATAAGTCCGAATGGGTCCCTGTTGGATCTAAGAGGAAAGTTGAAGTCAAACCAAAAGCATGGGGGAAATAAAACACATTTATATTTGGGCCCAGACATAAGAAAGTTTTGATTTGATAGCCCATGCAGACTTCGTTCATTAGTAACAAGTTCTCGGCTCTTCAAGAAGATATAATGAAATCGACATGCTTAAGAAGAACTACAAAGGTTTGCATTATGTTGAAAGAAAGTCAAGATGACTCGTTGTCAGATAGGAACACGTCTATGGAGAACTTGAAAGTTCAAGAAAATGAGATGACCGTTGGGGGTGATAAAATGAAGCAATTTAAGGATATGGCCATGATCAAGGACAATAAACTCCACTAACACTTACAAGTTTCTTTATGAATTTCCTGATATGGAACTTGAGAGGTACTGGAGTTGAGAGCTTTCCCTTATTAGTTAGAGAGTTAAAGAAACACTGCAAGCTGGATTTTCTACCACTTTTAGAAATGAGACGTGATAAGACAAAAACAGCTAAGAGGATTAAGAAGGTGGGTTTTCAGAATTCGTTAGTAATTGACGCTGTTGGATATAGTGGTGGAATTTGGTGTATGTTGGATGGATCTACACAAAGAGTAAGAATTCTTGAACAAAGTGCCCAATCCATGCATCTTAAGTGGAACCAAGTAGAAATGTTCACTTGGTACTTTCCGTTGTTTATGCTAGCCCAAACATGGCACTTCAACGAACACTTTGGACGAAGCACACTCATATTAGAAATGCTATCTCTGAAGCATGGGCTTTGGGAGGAGGCTTTAACACTACTTTATTTAGGTGTGAACGACGATCTGTAGCTAAGCATGGAACTTCGGTTACTAGAGAGTTTGTATCTTGGTTTGAGAATAATAACATGCATGATCTGAGGTATAAGGGACTATATTTTACTTGAAGGAGAGGTACGTCACAAGCACGACTCGATCATGTGGTTTGCAATGAACATTGGCTCTCAGCTTTTCCTGATGCATGTTTAAAACACTTGCCATGCTTTAAATTGGATCATAAACCTCTTTTGCTCAACTTGGGAAATGACACTCAGTGGAGTAAGAATCAACCATTTCATTTTATCACGTCTTGTGTTTTACATGAGAATTTTTTTGAGCTTGTACAACAAGAATGGTTGGCTCATCTTGCATGTAATGAGAAAGTTATAGCTTTTATGGCTACTTGTTCAGAGTGGAATAAAATAACATTTAGCCATACGAAAGTTCATGAGAATCATATTATGAGATGCCTTGAAGGGATGACTCGAGCAATTGGAAAGGGTGCTAATCCTAACAAATTTAAGGAGCTACAAGTCCAAATTGGAAGGAACTCGAAGATGTGTTGATTCAGGACTCATTGCTTTGGGCTTAGAAGGCAAAGACGGAGTAGTCTCTATATAGAGATTGTAGCACTAAATATTTCCGTTCTTGTGCTAATGGTAGGAGAAAAGTTAATAGAATTGATTCTATTTGTGATGAGAAAGGGGCCTGGGTGGAAGATATAGAGGCTATAAAGCAATTGGCTACTAACTTCTTCTTAAATCTCTTTACGAAGGAAAAGATGTATCATGAAGATTTATATATATCTGTTTTCCTCATCCTGATGAGGATTTCATTTGGAGATGTGGACTAGTGTTCTTAAAGAGAGAGATTAAAGATGCAATATTTAGTACGGGAGCACTCAAGTCACTAGGACTAAATGGTTTGAACACACTCTTTTACCAGAATCAATGCAATATTATGGGTAAGTATGTGGTTCAATTTATTCATTACATTTTTTATAACCTACAGTTAATTTAGACTATAAATAAGACTTTGATCGATTTCATCTCTAAGAGAGACCCACTGAAGACAATAAAGGATCTTAGATTTATTAGTCTTTATAATGTGATCTATAAAGCAGTGACTAAGGTTATTGCTAACCATGTCACTACTAGAAAAATTTAGGTTAGTGAGAAAATTTAACGAGGATTTAATTATTCCTCTCTAAATTATCACATTAACAAGGAATTTTGTGAGAAAATTTTATTTCATCTCTAAAAAAAATTAGTGAGGAATTAGAGAGGAATGATCATTCCTCTCTAAAAAGCTAGTAGTAAAATAAAAAATAATAATGAAAATTAGAAGAGTTTTAATTTGTATTTTTTTTATAAATACCTATTTTACCAAAAAAAAAATCTATTATGTTATATTGTCTTATATATAAAAAATATTTTCTGAAAATTTATATTATCTTATATATAATTTTCTTAAAAATATTAAATATCTTATATGTAAATAATTGCTTTTACTTTATAAATTATATTCCCTCTATAATTTTATTGACTTATCCCAATCCTTTCAATTTATTTCTTCAAAGTTCAGACCCAATCTTATTCCCTTCAATTTTTTTTTTTCATATAAATCCTAACCCAATATCAAGTGTAAACTCAAGAAACCTTGCCCATCACTCACTATTTGGGCTATTCATTGTCAAGCTACTCTACATATTGGTAGGCTATGACCCTTTCTTGAAGATCCCCTCTTCTTCATCATCGTTGCCTTCTTGTTCTCTCTCGCCTCACGTTCGTGACCTTGCCAGCACCATCATTGTCCGTCGAGCTCTGATCTAGCCTAAAAGTCCGCCTCCACATCATTCTTATCTTCTCAAATTTTGCCTCATGTTTGTGTCCTTGCGAGCGCCATTTTCATCCATCGAGCTTCGTCTCCTCCTTCTCAGCTTCTTGAATCTTGCCTCGCATTCATGCCCTTACGAGTGTGAGTAAAGAGAGCACCTCTCATTAACCAGTCGAGCTCTATCCTCCCCCAGGTTCATCATCCCTGCCTCCCTGCTTCCTCGGCAGTCGGTAATATGAACTCTAAATCAGATTCAAATCTATATAGCTCACTCCCTCTGGTCTTTAAGATTTTGACTAATCTCTGCTCTGCTCCTCACAGGTATATCACTTCTCTCTATTTTTTTTTTGAATTTTTTCTTCAATATTTGAATGGCAAGACCATAGCAATTTATGATTTGTGGACTCATGGTAGCTTAATCTAGGCAACGAACTCAATTTCTATTTATTAGGATCTGAAATTCTGGATTATTTGAGAAATATTGTAGGACCATATTCCCACATTGCAATGAATCTATGATGCCTTTTGTATATAGAGTTGAGGTTTGGATGCATGCTGTGGACTCAAGTTTGTTTATTCTAGGGTTAATTTAACTATTTGTATTGATTTATTGCATTGGATTAGGAGTCATATGTGCAACTGTGCTAGACTTGGAATGTGGTCTTATGGTCTTGTGGAATCTAGATTGGATTAGGAGTCGCACATGCAACTGTACTGGCCTGCCATGGTAATTCACTTCCTTGTCTTGTGAAGGTAACTGGTTTTAAGATAAATGACTTTGCTACTAATTTAGTACAATCAGGCCTTGCTCTTATTTCAGTATGAATAAAGATCAAGTTGATAAGCACATTTATCTTCCTGATATTATCCCCTTGCTCTTGTTTCAGGATGTTCACTGCCTTTTGCAAGCGATTGAGGATAATAAATAGTTCTAAAGCAATTGGCATAGGTAACCTTGTTAATTAGCTTCATCATATCTAATTTTGCAATTAAAAATAATAAATATCATATTTCTTAATAGGACTTGCCTCATATCAGACTAAACATGTTTCTTATTTGTTGCAGCACCAAGAATAATGGAGAAGAGCAAAAGCCAAAACTAGGGCAATGCTATAATTGATGATACACACAAAAGGTATCTTTCTTCCCTGTTTATGTATAATTATCACAACCCTTCTAATGAGAAATCCGACTTGTTTAAGTATAATTATCACAATCCTTCTAATGAGAAATCCGAGCGTTGTAGATTTATGTAGATGATGAGGCTAAATTGACTCTTCATGGTCTAGTACAGGTGTAATTTCTTGATTCCTTTTTATATTTTATTTCTGTTGTATTTTCCTCTTGTTGATACTTAAGTTTTCTTTTGTCTAATTGCTCTACTTTTGTTGTGACCTTTTTCAGCACTACATCAAATTGAAGGAGCCAGAAAAAAACCATAAGTTGAATGACCTTCTTGATGTCCTGGACTTCAACCAAGTGGTCATTTTTGTTAAAAGTGTCAGTAGAGCAGCAGAGTTGAACAAGTTGCTTGTAGAGTGCAACTTTCCACCAATCTGCATACATTCAAAAATGTCACAAGAAGAAAGGTATATATGATCTGAACACCATGCACTATTCTGGTTTAGCATCTCAATGGTACTGAGAAGCGTATTTTTTAGGTCCACTAACTTCATTTTGAGCTTGAGCTAGCTCGTTTATTTTCAAGCCTATTTAAGCCTGAGGTACAATTGAAGGGTATCAATTTCAAGTCTGGCCCTCATGTTAAATGTGCTCAACCTGTTTTCCCAACTATAATAAAACCTAGATCTAGCAAATGGCAATTCAATAAAGCTTATTTTTAATCATTATGAATATTTTTGAGTTAGCATCATTTTGATTCATTAGCATCCTCATCTGAAAAAAAAAATTGATATCTTAAAGATGACTCGGTTTTAATTGAGGTTGGCCAAGAAAGTATTTGTAGAGTCCATGCAATTTTTTAATGACCAATTACTGTAGGTGCCGCGGTGCAGTCATGTGTAGGCTTCAATTTTTCTGGCGGGTCCAATTTATGAGCCACAAACCAACACGTGCAGGTTAGCAAGGGACTTCTTTTCATCCTTGAACATGATCTGAAGAACAGAGAACAGAATAGTGCGAGGTGTTCAACTCTGAATGTGTTTTGCCAGCCTTATCTATTTTAAAATTTAGGTATTCTTTGAGTGTGTTCCCATTGTGACTTGTTATTTAATTTTGTGAGCACCCTGATTAGTGTCCCAAAGTTGTCTTCCCTTATTAAATAGGTGTGTGCAAATTGCTTTCCCTTCACATTTTTTCTTTATCCATTCTAGCCTCCTGATATTTTCCTCCCATCTCTTCTACATTGGTGTTTAAAATTGATTTTAATTTTGGGGCATGTTTTTCTCCCATCCTCCTCATGTTTTTCTCCCATCTCTTCTACTTTATGAGTAATTTTGCTTTAATTTTTTTTTCATTTATTTCCCTTATTCAAAGTAATTATGGCTAATTAGAATTCAATCTTGTCTTTATGGCTAATACTAATACATCTCTTTTAGGCTTTGATATCAGCCAAATGTTTAAAGTAAGAGGTGAAGAGGAGGCTTCCTAATGGACAGATTTAGGATGTGGCAAACTTGATAGATTTCACTTTTGAAGAACTAAAGGTAGCACTAGAAATTTCAGAGCTGAATCTGTATTAGGAGAGGGAGACTTTGGCTAGGCGTATAAAGGTTGGCTTAAAGGGATTATATTATGTGCTTTAAATTTGATAGGGATTTTAATGTGGCAAACTTATGTTATATTGTGTACTTTAAATTTCTTATATAGTTCTTGTTTATGGATTGAATTATTTTCTAATAAAAATTTCATTTGTGAGTCAATTGCTTGATTGAATTGGATTTATTTATAACTAAAATTTTGATTCTTACAAAACCAATGTGCAATTAAATGAAGAAATAATAAGGAAATTATTCTTCTCCAATTAAACCAATTTGTGAGGAAATAACGAGGAATTGGCTCCTCACTAAAATCATTCCTCGCAATAACCATGCTAAAAATATAATATTAGCAAGGAATTAGCAAGAAAATTATGGCCTTGCTACTATTAGCTAAGAAATTAAATTCTCACTAAATTAGCGAGGAAAGCACTATTCCTCACTAATTATTAGCGACTCATCATTTAGCTACGAATTTAGCAAGGAAATTATTTCCTCGCTAAATCATGATTAGCGAGTAATAAGTCAAATTTAGCAAGGAATATAGTCCTTGCTAAATCATAATTTTCTTGTATTGTGTTAAGACTGTTTTGCCTGGCATTGTTTCTCCTAATCAATATCGTTTTGTGTTTGGGAGGCATAGTTCAAATAATATTATTGCAGCCTTAGAAGTTATTCATTCTATGCAAACTATAAAGGGAAGAACGGTTTCATGGCTATTAAGATTGATTTGGAGAAAATTTATGGTAAAGTTAACTGGAGATTTCTTTTAAACTGCCTGAAAGAGCTCAGTTTGCCAACAACTATAGTAGAGGTTATTCATTATTGTGTTTCCACTGCGAATATGCAACTTCTTTGGAATAGGGACCACACTGAATATTTCATTTCGACTCATGGAATCTGTCAAGGGGATCCTATTTCTCCTTACTTATTTGTCATCTGTATGGAGAAACTTTCTCATTTATTCACTTGCGTATGAATTCTAGGGAATGAAGACCAATTAGACTCACTAAGATCAATTAGTCCCTTGATCTCTCACTTATTTTTTTACAAATGATATTATTATTTTTGCGAAAGCTTCTTTATAGCAAGCTGAAATAATTATGCAAACCATTAATTGTTTTTGTGCTAGTTCGGAACTGAAAGTGAATTCTAGCAAGATTAGAGTGTTTTATTCTCATTACATCAATCATAACAGAAGCAATGAGATTAACTCTATGTTGGGATTCATGGAAACTGCAAATCTTAGAAAGTATTTAGGGGTTTCCTTATTTCATATTCAGGTGAAAAATGATACTTTTGAGGAGGTTTTTGATAAAGTCAAACAGCATCTTACCTCTTGGAAGATCAACCCGCTATCTTTGGCAGGTAGGGCTACTCTTGTGTCTTTTGTGACTACTACTATTCTAAGACATGTAATGCAATCTTCTTCTCTTCCTATCAACACTTGTGAACGGCTAAATAGATGCAATCGTAGTTTCCTTTGGGTAGTGAAGAGAACCAGAGAAGAATTCCCCTTATGGCTTGGGATGTTGTTGGTAGGCCTAAAAGTAAAGGTGGCTTAGGATTGAAATAAGCTCACTCATAAAACCAATCATTCCTTATGAAAATGGGTTGGTATCTCATGAAGAGAAGAGATGATTTATGGGTTCGTGTGATTCGTAATAAGTATAAGTGCGGAGATGACTTACTATCCAAAATTAATCCAAAAATTAGGGGATCTAATTTATGGGCAAGAATTAAAGCGACATGGGATAAAGTGAAGGAGGGGTCAAAATTGGTAAATGAAGGTAGGGATGATCGATAGAGGTGGGAAAAGCATATCTCTATGAAGTCTGCTTATGAGCACATAACTCATGCTCACGTTTCGAAAGAGGCTATCTGGGAAAGACTTTGGAAACTGAAAGTCCCACATAGATGCCGTACGTTCTTGTGGATTGCTTCACGTGGTAGACTCCTTACTAATGCTTGTAGATGGAGTAATTTCTTTAGGCAAGATTTGCATTCATGGCTTAAATGGAACATCTACAGAACTATTGCAACTGAGGGAAATGAGTGGACTACCTTATTTGCTATCATTTGTTAGTAGATTTGGCGTAGAAGAAATGAATTCATCTTTGAACAGAAGTTCATCAGTAATGACTCTATTATTTTAAGTTCCAGAGCCATGATTAATAGCATGAAAGAGTTTGGTAAGCATCTCTCGGGTCAAAACGAAGCTATCAAAAATAGTTGGAGAACTCCTGTTCATGGTTGGGTAAAAGTGAACGTAGATGGAGCCTTTGCCCAAGCTTCAAACTTAGTTGCGCATGGAGGCCTGATCAGGGACTCTGATGTGACTTTTATTCAAGGATTCATATGCAAATTAAATACTAGGAATGCTCTCTCAGTTGAATTATGGGCTTGTATTCATGGACTAAAGCTTGCATGGAAATTGGGTTATTGCAAAATTGAGCTTGAATCTGACTCTAGGGAGGCTATTGACTGCATACAACGAGGATGTGACTCATTCCATTTGGAATATGGAGTTATTTCTGAAGCTCAAGTGCTTGCTCAACGTGACTGGGAGGTGCAGGTGCGGCATGTTCCGAGATGGATTAATGGACCTGCTAATTGGTTAGCAAAATATGAATTAGGAGCTTTGCTTGGATTCTACCAGGTGATTTAGATTCCTGAAGGTCTTGCACAAATTCTGATAAGGATTGTAATAATACCACTGGCTATATAGGCTAGTTGGTTTTGGACTTCGTCATTTTATCAAAAACCAAAAAACAAAAACAGAGAGAAAGAGAACAACTTCTACCATATGGGCAGCTAATTTCCTATATGAAGATCAGAAGATAAGCTGCGGAAGAGAAATGACTCTAATAGTAGTCATTATTTTTGTTTAGAGATCTGTAAATGTTTGAAATAATATTGATCCGAATAAATTGGGTAAGTATATGAGATCTAGTGACATACTAAATTTGACATAAACATCTCAGGTTGGCATATATAACTCATAAGCGTTAGAAACTTTTGTTTTAAAATAAATAATTGGAATTAGGTTTTCAATTTTAAGGTAATGAACAAATCTGGTTAAAAGAGATTTACTATTACTCTCAGTGTTTTCGGGAGAAGTTAAAATCTACTGTGTCGATAGAAAATACTACTTAATACGCAAAATAATAATAATAATAAAATTTGATATAATATATAGTCAAATCTAAAAAAACAACAAATTATTAAATTGATTAATTCTAAGCAAACCATCAATAATCAAAAGAATTAACTTAATGTTTGGATTGATGAAAATTTGGGTTTGAATTTAAGTCAAATGTCCCATTCAGATATATAAGAAGTTATATGGATTTGGATTTGATCCTAATTGAAGTCATTTTTTATTCTTTCATAATTTAATTTTTTCAATATCCTAATTATTTAAAATTTTAGCCACTTTAATATTTTATTCCTTTTGTATTTTTACTTTTGATACTTTTCTCATTCTCAGTCTCTCACTTATTTTCTCATCTCTCACCAATTAAAAATAAAAAAAAATCATCACTACTAATCATTTATTTTTATTTTGAGTCTCAGCTTGATTCTCTTTTAAAAAAACAATCTAAATATCAAAACAAAAATGTTAAAACATGAATTTTAAATATAAGATTTTAAATATGAGATCTTAAATTTAAAATTTAAATTCAAATCTATCCATCCAAGAATCACCTAAGAAAATTATGGAGTAAACTAGAAAAATAAAGCATATAAAAGAATTGATTTTATCAATGAGAACAATGCTGGTAAACTAGTGTCACTGTCCACTAATTGGGAAAACTACCTAGTCATTTATAGTGTTGTGTTTTGCAATTGAAGCGATATTCATTATTAAGAGATCCTAATTAATCGTGACTGTTCATCAGTGATAATCAAATCCATTAAACTAAACCATTGCAAGCGCCTAGTTGCATATTTAATCCTAGTTGATCATGCTTATTGCTCCAGTTCTAAATCTATATTTTAGTCATGGATACATGACTCAAATCCTAAGATCAACTTGTATTATACTGATCATATAAGTAACAGTGAACAGAAAGAAAAATATAATTGAGATATCACTCCAATTACACGATTCAAAACTAAAGAACCTGTATCTACCGAAAGCTAAATTACACCCTTATCCCTGTTTTGGATGAAATTGATAATGAAATTATAATACAATTACGTGCTTGGTTTTCCATTGAAAACCATAAGAACCGATGTCATGGAATCTTAGGGCTCATTTGGTACACAGCATTGAAATGTAGGGATTAGGATTGGGCTAGAGTAATCCCACTTTTTACATGTTTGGTATGAGTGATTCCCCAATACTTGAGATTGGTCAATTCCACTTAGGTGAAAATACTGAAACCCACCACCTCCCATTGTATTACTTAGTCCCACCAAAATTAATCCTAGGATTAATATTTTTTAGACAAAAATGCCCTTCCAATCTCTCCCCTCCTCCATCTTTGGCCGCCCTCCACTTTTTCATCTTCGTCACAAGTCGTTACCTAATGTCATACCCATCGCAAGTCATTCCAGTCACCATCTTTGTCGTAAGTCATTCCTATCACCGTCTCTATCACAAGTTATTCTCATCGCCATCTCTGTCACAAGACATCTCTCTCCCTCTACGTCTCACTTCCTTTCCCTTGGCACTATTTCTTCATCGTTAAAATTCTGTCATCGATAGAAACTTCTTCACCATCTGCTATGCTGCTCGAGATTTTTATTTTGGCAAAGGTAATGGTCAAAGAGCATAGGCAATGGATTAAATCACACGACGAGTAAGAGAATGGATAGCTTACCATGGATTAAAGCTGTGGATTGAATGAGACAGTTAAAGCCATCGTGCATGGAGTCTGGTCAGAGAGCAAAGGTAGTGGCCTCTCTGTGCCATCGTGCTCACAGATTGGGAGAAGGTGAAGGAGGGTTGATCAGTTTAAGGTTTCAATTTTTTTTAATTTTAAGAGGTATTATAGTCATTTCATAATTTATGTTTAATTGTAAAATAGAATAAGGATAAGTATTTCCTATAAGTATTACCTCATACCAAACATAATTTTAAAATCTCATTCCCATTATTATTCCTAATCTCAATCTCAATCCTAATCTTTCTCAATTAAGACCTACATACCAAACAAGGCCTTAAAGTGTGTTTGGTTTAGCTTTGCATCTAATCAATGTAGGGTCTCCCTTACTTAACTACATTCAACTCTATAATCAAGGTAATCAAGGGATTAACCCTAAAAAGATTACCAAAATTGTAAAATTATTAAAGTCAATAATTCTTAAATTATCTACTATGAGGTCTTAAAACTTAACATTTAAAATCTTTTTCCAACCCTTATTAGGCTCAAATTCAAGTTTTAAAACAATGCGAAAGTTTAAAAATCACATAGGACTCAAAACAATAAGTTTCAAAACTCAAAATTGTGTTTTATGCAGAAAATGACCCATACACTGTGGCTTGAGACATATGCATCACGGCTCACTCGCCTTTGTGCCATGCGTAGAGGTGCATTGCACGAATATGACAGCAACAGCTACTATCATTTGACAACAGTAGGAGCGAACTTCTAACGCATCCTAAAACTTCGTATGACGTCTGATTGAGGTAGTTTCTGTACCTACACGGAGCTTTCTCCTAACTCTGGCTAATAACACAATTTCACACTCAAATTTATTTTTTACAGAAAGTTTGACACCAAAATCTATTTTATCACTTTTTCACCAAAATTTCACAACAGTGTCCCAACTCAACTTCAAGTACCAAAAGCCTACACTAACCATCCAACAACACTCAATGGACTCTAGCAGACCTGTACAATGTACCATACACAATCAAAAACACATATATCTCAAATTCACTACTCAACCTCAATTTTCACAAAACACAAGGGGAGGAAATTCATGCACAAAACTATCAATTTCATCTCAAATCATTCAAAATATACATGTTCCTACTTGCATAAATATTTTGGCCCTATCTACGGGTTTACACCAAAACTAATGAACTCAAGGCACAAAATATGCAAGTTGTATGCTCTGATAATTCAAGTAGTACAAAAATGAATCATGGGAACCTAGTTGGCAATTGTATCAACTAAAACAACAAAGAGAGGCATACAAAAGGATTACTCTACAAATCTTAAGCCTTAGTTGTTTCCCCCAACTCTGATCTGATGAATTAGGCTTTAAAAATATTGAGAATTAAGGGGTGAATATATAACCAACCTGATGAACTCAATAACCAAGTTTCATCTAATATATACCATTGCATATCAATTGTAAACAAATGAAAATAGGCAAACATAAATACAACACATGTAAGAAACTTGGCCACGATTCACAATACTAACAACTATGTGATCGAATCCAAAAACACATATATTTATATTAATTTTAATGCAAATCACAAGGCCATAATAATACCAACCATACACCCCTAACACACAGCGGACCACAATACTAACAACCATATGGCTGAATTTATGTGCATGATTATATGCCAACGTTATATCCTCATGTTACCTCTAACATAAAACCAGTAGCTATCACAAGACTATGTCCTTCACGGATTAACCCAGCCTTCTACTTGTGAGGAGCTATCAGACCAGAGTTAACTTATTCACTTATGTAATCTGGTTTTTTCCAATACTAACAACCATAAGGTATCGTACCCCTAATCTAGCCTCCTCATAAACTAGCGAAGACTAGCTAGATTCGAGTCTCTCATAAAACTAGTAGAATAGTCCCGAATCAACTATAGAACAAAGACTACCTCTTAATTCCAACAATCAACACCAAGACCATCAACCAAGTTACAGAAACACAAGTTAAACATATTGCCTTAGTTATCAAATTATATCATTAATTTAAACTATCAACCATATTACACAAACATAATTAATATTCAACTATAAAGATTAAGTTTTCCTTAGTTATCTCAAACCTTTAAGAGGTCAAAGATTTAGCCCTCTAAATACTAACTTCCAAAGCTTCTTGCAAGCTTGAATAGTGCCAATGACAATAATTTACAATCACATTATAAAGATATCATCATAATCTCACCCTTAAGGATTGTCTTAACATAAATTCCACATTTATTCTTTCTACTAATCCCATAAATCTTTATCCGTCCATACCTAATAGGTTCACTAGGTTTTATTAATGCACATTATCATTAATAAATCTTCAAACCACTATAAATAGATATCAAACTCTCCCAATTGCCTCATTTATGTTGATTTTTGATTATTTATTACTCCTATGCACCAACCACTTCAATAATCATTAATATTGTGTTTCAATACCTTAAACAATCCCCATTATATCTATTTTAATCAATGGGTTTAGATCCATAGCTTCTATGGTAGAGAAAGGAAGATGAAAGCATAACATACTTACCTTAGGTGTTTGGGAGATTCAAACTATCATCAACAGTCTCCAAGGTCGTGCCCTAGTAAAGCTTAAACGTGTTCTTCATTTTCTTCCTTTCCTCTCTTCTAAATTTTTGAATAGACATAAACTAAATTTATTATATTTTTGGCCATGCGCCGCGGCGCACACAGCCCTCCATCATAGTGTATGGTACAAAGAGGCTCGTTGCATTTAAATCTACCTCTGTGCGTCGCAGCGGATTGACCACATGCCACAGCATATAGCATAGAGGGCTTTACCTTTTCTTCCTCTGTCTTTGCCCGGGTGACCGTCATTGATCTAGACCCATTTCTAGGGCTGAAATCATAATTAATTATATAAATTAGGCTCCTCTGATCACACACCTCATTAATTCACTAATCACACTTATTAAGCTAAATAATTATGCTTAATTTTTCTAGATATTACAATCAAAGCCATGAGATTATGGCCACTTTTAGGCCATTAAGCCATCACCTAGGGCCCCATGAATTA